ATAGTTCATGTTCATAAAATTCAATAGCGCATGCGAATATTTGTATATTCTGTTATTACATCATAAATTATAGAATGTTATATATTTAACAATAATCAGATTTAATAGTAAAAGAATAAGACGAACGCTCAAAACTTCCAAATACAAAGAGTCAAATATAATATAATAATGTATAAAAATCACAAAAGATATCATTCGATCAAAAAGGATTTGGTGAGATTCTATAAAGATAATCATATTGAAAATAAATTATCGAAATGTTAATTATTTATCAATTGATATTCGGTTTCTTCTTTACGTACGATTCAAATCCCGATATTCGTGGTCCAATTCTTCTCGTTTAAATCTTTTTTTGTTTCCTTCCTTTTTTCCTTCCTTTTTCATTCCTTCAATTTGTTTTCCTTTCTTTTCTATTTTAATTTCATTTCCTTGTCGTTTGCAGAAACTCTTCTCGTTTTTCGACTAATTTTTAAAAATTAAAAAACTAAACTCTGACAATGCTCAATTAAAAGCAAGTACAAAACTTCACAAAAACAAAAACTATTTTTTTCTGCAAATATAAATATAATAGTTGATACACAAAAAAAATTCTATCCAAATGCACAGTGTGACGCTAAAAAAAGCTACCTCAATATTGTATTATCTTCTTTTTGATTGCATATATCGTATTTAACAAGTTAGATTCCCGATTTCACGATTTCTTTTGCAATAGGTTCATGATTTGCAGATAAAAAATCATATTAGTTGATTAATTGGTGAGAAAACAAATCGTATCTTCTTTCTTGAATTGTAATTCGAATTTAAAAGATTGACAGAGTTAAAAACAACTAACTAATGACACATCGAGTGTCGATTCGATTTAAGAAGAAGGATATGTATCATATCGAAGTAACAAGTTGCAAGCATTGTAGAAACAATGCCTCTGCTGACGAGGGAAGTTGAGTTTAAACTTTGGCGAATCGACATGCTGTTGTGGGAATACTGGAACACACATTCCAAAGGACGTAGAAAGTAACGAAGAAAAGAAGACACAATCATGTCATGGGAATCAATCTCTTCGAGAGATTATCTCGGGTAAGTATCGAATAAAATAAAATAGTGATTTATTCGGTTTTAATAGACGTGAATTCTCGGATTGCGCGAGAATCACCGAAACGGGAAAGGAAACGAAATGGGAGGGGCAACTGTCGCGGTGCCATAATACTCGGAGATAACTTGGTATATAGGTCAGAAAAAGAGGTTACAGATGCCTCGCCCACTATGAGCACACAGGTCGTTCGTTTCGAATTGAGAATTCCGCAATCGAATTTTCGCATCTTTTTGTTTGATCGCAATAACCGCCACCATTCTTGTAATCTATTTAGGAAAGAAAAGA